ACAGTGAAAGGCCCGGAGGGTATTGATTGGTTGGTGGAAGTCTTGAAGGGCAAGTTGGAAGTCAAAGAATTTGAAGGAACTGTAAAACTATCTCCGCATGCAAGTCAACCACATAGAAAGAGGAAGTGCCCGAAAATTACTCTCTCAATTTCGCTTAGCTAGGAGCCCGGAAGGAGCTAGAAGAACATAAGGTTGCCATGCCGTGCATTGAAGAAAGTCAAAATATAGAATATAGGCCCGGGAATGAAATATACCAGAAAATACCTCGTCATCGATGTTAAGAAACCCTTGGAAAGAAGAGGTATATATACCCAAATATACGCATGTATAAAGTAAAATAAATGAATAGATTTTAAGTGTAAGAGAAAAGAAATCGATGACCGGCGCCTTTTATCCCCTTTTGTATATACAGTACCTTATCCAATCAGAACAGGCCAAAAAAAGGCGCGAAATCAAATCCCGAAAAGTTAATGCCTAAATCCAGAATCCAGTTCCGAGCAATGTACTAAAAAGATCGATAGACAAGATAGCAAACAAGACAGAAGGAAAGAAAACAAAAAAAGAAAACAAAGGAGGAGAAAAAGAAACAGAGAAAGAAAGAAAGAAAGAAAAAGAGAAAAGAAAAGAAAAGAAAGATAAAATAGGATAGATAAATAGGTCGTTAGGAGTAAATGATCATGAAGAGATATTAAAAAATAAAGAGGTAATTAAGCCCATTTCCCCAACAAGGCCATCAGCGCCGCGCCCAGGCAGAGCAGTCCAAACGCAGCCAGAACCTTCCGAATGGGAGCCCGCCGCATCGACGGGCTGAACATAAACTCATGTGCCATCAATTCCACCAGGGCAGTGTATATCAGAATGCCCGCAGATATCGAATCGAAGACGCCATTTACGATCAGCGTCGTCCGGCCCTCGGGTGGGTACGACTCGCGAACACCAAGGCCAATGGCAATTGAGATTGGAGTAGATAGGCCGAAGACAATTGCAAGCATGTATGGTGTTAGCCGCTTGGAGCGCGGCCAGGGGACGGTCGCCAGGCGGGAGCCTAGACCTAGGCCTTCGAATGTCTGGTGGAAGACCAGCACCACGTAAAGGGTTATGAATTCTTCGCCTGCGACGGCGAGGGTGAGGCCGATGAAGATTGAGTGGAAGATTATGCCGAATTCGAGGATGAAGATGGAAGTTAGCTGCGCGCTGTAGTCTTCTACGAGGGAGGAGAGGGTATGGCCATGGTGGTGATGGTGATGGTGGTGATCATGGCCGTGAACGTGGTTGTGGGGCGATGGTTTTTCATCAGCAGCGGGAGTGTGACAATGATTGTTGGAGGATATGTCTGACGTGAGATCGCGACTGTGGCCCGAATGATCCTCGCTAGGGACATGGGTTCTGTGTTCGGAATGTATGGACGAAATTTCACACTGGTGGTCATGGGTATGTGAGTGAACAAGGGTGGTGCAGAGGACGTTGTCGTTACCATGGCTGTGGTTGTGGCTGTGGCTGTGGGGTTGGTCGTGCTTGTAGGAACCATCTTCAATCTCCCTGGCAATATCTGCATCTCCAAAGCGAGCGAATCGGATGACCATAAGTTCGATGAAGAAAAGGAGGACAATCGTCATGAGCATGATCCCTTCCACCCAGGGATATTCTGTAATTGGCCCGGTTAGGCAGGGGTTGCTCAACGCTTCGTGGGCAGGCGCAAGGAGGTGGATGAATGCGGTAGCCACAATAACACCCGAGCCGAAGTACTTTGCCACGAAAAAAGCCCATGGAGGAACGTTCATACGCCGTTTCCCATCCCTCACGGCGCCGGGACGAGCCCAAACAGGGAATAAAGCGCCGAGAGAAGAGCCGACCAAGATCACAAACACGGCGGATACACGCAGGCCCATACGGCCATCATACTCGTTTCCCGTAGCACAGGCATCGGCAGCACTCCCTTCTTCAGCGCGGGGTAGGAGAACTGTGAGATGGGCGGGATCCAGCATGGCGAATTGCAGGCCAGGAGGAGGACAAGGTGGGTGCACGGCGAGAGTGATCAGAGGCGAGGATAAGGATCGAATATACTCCGTATCTAGGAGGAGGATTCCAAAGCATCAACGGACGAGACGAGACGAGCAGCGGAAGAAGAAGGGCAGACAGAGACACAGACAGAGTGCGCGCACATAAAGAAGGGTCTCAGATAGACAATTGTATGAAATGCCCTAACCTAATTGTGATCTGTGCCAGGTTACAGGTTACATGTACCTGTACCCGCAGCAATGCAGCGCTCTCACTGCAGGCGGCGGCGGCAGCGTCCGGCGTGCAAAATTCAAAATTCGATCTCTGTGGTGGTACGGGTACGTATCGGGGACCTTGGGAGATGCTGTGAGGACCTTGCAGGCACGGCGCTGACTGCTGACTCATCTGCGTCTGTGGCCGCTGATTGGCCAGAGTGTGCTGAGTCACCCCACCGCTCGTGCTGCCCCCTTTTTGGCCAAGTCAGCTCTAACTGGTCGGACACGGCTGACGACGGAACATTGGATCAATTTATAGGGAAAAAAGAACAAAAGAAGAGAAAAATGAGTGAAAAGAGCAAAGGAAAGTAAAAGCCAAATGAAGTGAGATGTTGATGATACATAATATGCCCCATATTCCATCGATAGGATTGAAATATATGGGAGAAATTGGAGAAATGGGCCCAACATCCAGTTCAGATCCCCAATATAGCGCCCGCCTCTCCAAGTCGCGATGCGGACTTTTGGGCTTCATCCGCAGATTTCTCCTGAGCTGAACCCCACTGCTTGCTTTCTGCATCCTTCTTGTCTTCGTCCAAATCCTCCTCCTCTTCGTCCTCCTCTTCTCCCTCTTCTCCATCGGCCATTTCGGCCACTAACCCCGAATATAGCACATATCCCACAAACACGCCTAGGCCAGCCAACACTGTCGCTATCGATGTATATAGCTCTCTCCGCTGTATCGTGGCCACTTTCGTCACTAACTCCTTCTCCTCACTATCCCCCTCCGCCTCCGCTCCCGCCCGTTGCAATCTGGCGTTGGTTCTAATCTGCCGCACAATCGGAATCGAATCCGCAATGCCTTCCAGGGCTCGCCTTCCTACTGCTGCAAAGCTAACTTGCTCCGGAGATCGCCACGGCAAACTAGAGGCGAGCGCTGGGCTATCCGTGAAAGCTATGGAAACCTCTATAGGTACCGCTCCGAAACACCGTGACCGCAACTGGTCTGCGTAGGCTGCTAATCGCGGAGCTTGTCCTGTGGCAGCATCCCGCAACCACGGGTACGGAAGCTTTGGAACTAGGGCCAGTGAGAGATAGCCCAATGCCAAACAGTCTAGGGTCGACGGAATTTCCGATGATAGCAGATACCCTTTCCGTCCTAGAAGTTCTTCTAAGGGTGCCACAAATGCCCCGGTTATACCCTCGAGTCGTATCCGGTTTCGTTTTGACGTTTTGCTCAGTATATCACTCACTGTCGCCTGAGGCTTGCGCACAAGACCTTTCGGGATCTTGTTTGCTAGGTTGCTGGGATCCCGCGCCTGTTGTCGCTCCTCTTCTACCATTACATCTAGATCAAGTGATGTAAGCCCAAGATGTTCCGTCCGTTTCTTTGCCGTTGTTCGAATTTGTGGCGGCATTATCCATTGGTTAGGCCATTGGAGAAGTGTTGCATATGCTAGCGAAGTTACATTATTGTAATTCTCACTCGACACGTAAAGAGACAGGTCAATGAGGGGCTGGCCTTGGGATTCGAGAAAGGATGAAAATCTGTCCTCATTACTTTTAGATACTGTAATACAATCTTTTTTTGTTTTTGTTTTTTTTTTGTAAGATTGGGTGGAAGCATGCACTTACGCTATGCAATCTGCCCTCTCTTTTTGACCCATCCACCGATCCAAGTCCCATTCTCCGTTGGAGTATTGGCTCAGATACGCTACGATATTCCTGAACCGACTGATCCATCTCGTTCCCGTCCATAATGCTGGTAATTCATCTGCAGATTCATCGTAAATAATTAGCATCCCGTATTCTGGTATAAGCAGCAGTTTGAAAATAGCCAAATCCAAATATGAAGAAGCACCAACTGGCCTAAAGAAGGCGAAGAAGACGGACAGCCGCCATAAAAGCTTAGCAAATGCAATGACCATACTATTACTCACTGGTAGGGACCATCCCAGGATCATTATCTGCCACCAACACCCATTGTTCCAGCTCTCCGTCGGGACCCCTTTCCTTCGCCGGCACAGCTAAAGCAAAGTACGCAACAATGGCAATACATTGTGGGTCGATTGAAGGCAGCCCAAATGCCGGACCCCAAATGTGTAGTTCGAATACCATAGTTTATTTCCTTCTTCCTTCCCCAAATACCCTTGTTTTATTTTCCTTTCCTCCAATCCTTGCCTGCGCGGTCTTACCGGGACTAACACCCTGCTTGATATATGGCGTTGCGGTGAGTTTGTTATGCGAAGGTTATGATACACCTATTCCAATACAGCAAGCTCTCGTTTGGTTTTGCTCGTTCTGATTGGCGCTATCCAACAATCCAATCAGTACGAATGCATATACTTAGTTAGGTATGTCGTTGAGACGGAATGGGACAGTTGAAGACGACTAGCTAGGGTGCCTCTACCTATTGTGGCGGACGTATTTATCACGACAGCTCAACAGCCTTGGAGTAACGCGCACGGTTCCATCGATCGAGCACAAAAGGTTGGCGGTCAAAAAACTAAGCCAGTAATTTTCAACAGACTCAAATTCATCCACTGCACAGATTAATTGTTTGGGAAAGGAATTGCCCGTCGCTGGAACTCGGCATAAATCTTTGGCGCGTTGATCGGATTCGGGGAAACAGCAATTGAGTCACGTGTCTACGACAACTCAGCCACGAGAAGCTCCCGAGAAAGTACTTAGAACGAGCTCAATGTTATAAATGTTATAAATAGCGACGTCAGAGATACCCTGGATTGATGCTTCTTAGCCGTTACCCTACAGTCAACTTTTTCTACGATGCCCCCAATCAGACGGTACCTGCGCATCAGCAAATACTCTGTGCTGGAATGCAGGATATATCTTGAGAATCCTGCCCATTCACGATGGTTGCTTGACGCCCGCGACCCAGCTCTACCCCGTGTATTCAAGAGTATACAGCCTCTGATCCTCCCAAAGCTAAGGGAGGAAACTGAGCGAGCACGCGCGAAGAAGAAGTCGAAACCCGTCAAAGACGTCCTTTCGGAGGAGGGTATGGCTTAGTTTACTTTGCAAAAGACGCTTCTTGAAACTACCATGTGGTTAACAGGTCCGAGCAGATGATTTCGAGGTTTCCATCTTCCTCCGTGATAGCGGCACCAGCCACTCGCTTGTTACAAAACTAAAGTCCTTTAACGATCGACCATCCAAGATCCAGAGTAACTCAAGTAAATTACCTGGAACGGATGACTCTCCGATTCATATCGCCGATGACCCCGTGACGATACCGACTATTATACCTGAGAGTGACGAGGAGTCCCCGATCAACTTGCAAGATATACCGACAGCCACGGCCCCCGTAACTAATGAGGAAGGCGTCGACATCCAGTCATCGACAAGCCGTCGTCGACGAAGGGAGAACCGTACAGAAAATAGTGCCAATATAGAAGCCGGTAGCGTTGACGAGGACACTCATGCCACGAAGCGAAAAAAGACCTATATCGAACCTACTCCGGAACTGCAAGACGACAAGAAACTACACCTTACTACCACCTATAAAGGGTTCACAATATGGGGCAGGATATTATGCCTCCTCGTCACCAGGAAAGGCGACAGAGCGAGATCAAAACCTGATGCAGCACCAGCTGGTCAGGCATTAATGGAAGAATGGATCTCAACGCAGGCCCCGCAGGAATTCGAAGAAGCCTGAGTTCAAATGCAACTTCTGTTACCAGCGACGATTTGTATGGTTACGGCTCGGTCGTCAAACGTTGGAACCACGGCCTAACGTGAGAGTTACCCCGTTTGAAGGCGGTAGCCGAGATGGATAAACAGGTTACGGATTACCTAGTCGGCTACGTGTCTATCATCGCAAGGCAAAAAGCATTCGTCCCTTGCGTCATAAAATCGCCCCCACCCCGTGTGCCTCTGGGCCCATGTAGGATTGATTTAGTGAATCAGGGTTTAAACTTTATAGTCGAGGCCTCGTGTGACAGCAGCGTCTTCAAAATTGCGGGATTTGCAGACAATTCACATCCCTGCCTTGTGCGAATCCGGTCTTGAGCCCAGCAGCATAATAGAGGCATAAAGCAATCCACATTCAGGGATGACCCGGCAGAACGACCAAGATGCTGTACTCCCCATAAAAAGAGGAACAGGAGGCAGGCTTGGATTAAGTAATTCTGCGACTATCCGGTTTAATACATGCGCAAGCAACCAGTCATCCATTCCGTCAGTGCGAAAGCTCAGGATGGCGTCAGTAGCCATGGCTACTCACACCATTAGACGAAATTGTATGGTATCCCGGGTACCGCGCATTTACGTTTAGGTCATGGGTCTCATGCACCTGATATATTCATGTACGAGTAACTAAAACGCATAATTTCAGCCGCGCTTTCTTATTCACACCCCGACAGCTGGGATCCCCATACCCACGCTCTTACCGTGGTATGTGGCACAAATGAAACAAGGGCCGTCCCAGCCTGTAGCAGTGCATTGGGTCACTATCCCCTCGTAACAGCTCTACCGCTTTTGCGGTAAATGTCAGATGGGTTAACGAGCAGGGGCCGGGTAGCGCCTTAGCGTGGGAAACCAAGGCGTGCGGGTTTGAAACCGGCGGGGGATACGTTAAATCCGGAACCTAAGCACCTCAGGTTTCTAATAAATACAGAGGTGTACAAATCACTACAATTGAATCACTCTATGTTCCTGGGCTGGGAAGTTATCATTGCATGTATCTAGTTGTCACTCCTTTGTATTTCCTATGTTCTTGTTATCTTGGCGTGATCGCAACACCTGTATTTCCTCCTGTATAAGTTAGTGAGTTGCACTTGGCATAGTTAGTCTCCAAGTTTCAAGGCTAATAACCCAATTAGCCGAAGCTCTCTCAACAATAGCTTCCTTCACGAAATTGCTACACAATCCAGTCTCCTAAACCGTAACCGTTTTCTTTTCCATCAGAGGATCGCCTAATATATTAAATTCGTAGCTATGACTACTACCAGATCGCGCCGCTATGCTTGTGATCGGTGTCGGGCCCACAAACTTCGCTGTAACCGCGACCTAATGGCTACGACCAACAGCCCCTGTCTACGCTGTAGGAAAGCTAAAGCCGACTGCTCCATAGCTTCGGTTGTTCGTGTTGGTTCTTCTGCAGATATGTTTCCAGCTGAAATGGATGCAGTCAATTCTACCCAAAACGGAGGTAAAAATCATCCAGATATGCGCAGTACTTCTTGTCCTCCCGTCGGCTAATTATATATACAGGTAATGGCGACGGACTACATGACCCTCCAAACCACAGCTCAACTACCGTGCAACAAATATGGAGACATGCCGCTCCTGATGTTTCGGATGCTATCCATGACTCGCAGCCCACATCTGTCTTTTGGCCGAATCTAAATCAATCAACCTTTTTGCAAGGACAAGAAATTTTTGAAGAATCCATGGACACTACTGCGCTGCTTCTGCCCGCTGTGCCTCTTAGCCTTCAAGAAGCTGGACCAACATACAGCAGTGATTTCAGCACTAACGATTTGGGTGCCCTCCAATCAACCATTTTTGCTTTTCATCCTGCCCATGATATCATAATCGACCAAACACAGAACAATTCCAAAAATAACATTCCCCTGCGCTCACTCAGCGGCCAAGAGGATCTCTTTCCAGTGATTTCAGATCCAAACTCCCTAGTAAGCGATATTTCCGGGACACCGCCCTCTAACATACCAACCGCTGAATCTGGTGATGGGGAGAATCTGTCCCCGATAGGGCTTAAAGATGCCTGCATTCAAAAACTATCCGATCTAAACGCTACCCTCATGAAAGACTTCCACCGAGCAGAAATTTTGAAGCATTCATGCACTTACCTCTTTGATTCACCTGACAAAGTCATGCCTGAATACCTCCATGCCACGCTAGAAAAGTCGGTGATTGAGGAAGACAGTGTTGGAAACATGCTTCGTGGATCTGAGCAATTTCTTGAAATCATTCGGCTTTGCAAACGAACCGCAGCACTTTCGCTAGAGTTGCCGCCAGAGGCATATCCAGAAAGTAAAGCCGCTCACGAGAACGGGCTTAAGGATCCGGCTATAGAACCAGAGATTAGCCCCGAGGAACGTATAGCAAGAAGATGGGAAGTCCTACGAGCGGGGTTTCATAGGTCAAAGGCACCACCTGCAAGTCTGCTAGCAACCTCCTCTTCCTCAAGCAGTTTGTTGACCCCTCCTGCGCTGAAACTAGACGCCCCTACCACCCTTACCATTCTGTCTTGTTACACCACCCTTCTTAGAACTTACAAAACTTTGTTCTCAATCCTTAGCGATTTTTTTGATTCTTCCTGTGCGTTTGCGGAAATTCTCAAGTTACCTCCGCTCGTCAGTGCGTTGCAGATTAACGGATTCATGATTGGCGACAATGGCTGCCTATATATCAAAATTTTACTGGAAACTAGTAGACACTTGCTGAACTCCATTCAAAAGGCTTTGGATGAAGTACTTGGAGATAAATTGGCTCAATCTTTACTGGAAACGCTGTTGAAGCAAGATGGAGTAGCCTTGTTGGAAGACAATGAGGCTGGTATGAAACCAGTTCGCGAATTGTTTTCTATCATCGAGAAGAAACTGCGATAGAACATACAAGCAACTAAATAGACCTTTTCTCCCTTTATGACACATCAAACTTATAATAACCTTCATCCAGAAAGGTGTGCTAATTATTGCTACTAACATCTAGAAAGGGGAGCTTGGGAATCTAGGTCACAACCCGCTCCTCTTAACATGTCAAACACCGCCTTTCATAAATCTCAGGAAGCTACCTGTTGGCTATCATTCTGTATGCAAATCTACAAATAAAATGACTGCATTTGTCATAATAAAGTGATTACACTCTGAAAACATACATGGAATTTTCAAACCTGTCCAACGCATTGTTGTGCATAAATATCCTAGTTTCCTTCTTATTTCCAAAGAAAGACTTTTGTTCCCAACGCCCGCCACCCTCAGCCCTTGAGGATCAAATCGACCTCAGGGTTTTGCCTTCGCAGCAAGTTAAGAATTTCCTTCCAGCACTGGGTTCCTAACTTTTTTCCCTCATCCGAGACAACAAGTGCAGCCGGCCTACTTAAATGTTAGGAAATTTCATGCTTTCTTGAGAAACAACAAATATATGCGATCCACATATATGCGATCCACTCACTTGGCAATTCTATCATGAGTCCAGAACCCACCATGCCCTTCAGGCCCAAGTAAGGTCCCACTAACAAGAGTCCGACTACCTTCTTCTGTTGTCCTACCCAATATAGACCTAGAAAAGGTGTCTATACCATGTAACACGAAGCCCCAATTGTCGGTCAGATTTGACTTACACATACTGGGGCAACATGCGCTCACGATCACTTGCTCGACGGGTACTTCGGCTGCAATGTGAGTAGTTACCCACATGGCAAGTAATTTGGAGATGCTGTATTGGCTGCCGATACCGAAGTGTTTTGGGTCGTTTATCTTCTGAAGAATGCTTGAAGGATCGCGGACGTTCTTCACATTTGCATCCCCTTGGGCGCAACTAGCAACGATCTCAAGATGTGCCGCCCTACCGGTGGATAAACCTGTTTCACGCAGTTTAGGGAGGAGAAGGATCCCCAAGTAAGCCGTCGATATGGCGTTGACTTGGATCGACATTTCCCAGCCCTCCGTGCTCAGCTCGTAGGATCGTTGGAAAACGCCGGCATTCAGGACAGCGGCATGTACAACGGTAAATCTTCTATTAACCTGCTGAAAGAATTTTTCAATAGATTGATACCTGGACATATCCAGCTCGATTAATTGTATGACGCCCGCGCTGCAACCTGTCCTGGCTTCGATCTTCGCCTTGGCCTGCTCCCCTTTTGGCAACGAACGGACACCGAGGATAAGGTTTGATGCACCTAAGGCTGCAAATTTTATCGCGGCTTCGAATCCAAGACCCACATTCGCCCCGGTAATAAGGACGGTTTTACCAGCAAAGGATGTTTTGGGATCGGCTGGTGGGTTCCTTGCCGCCCACCAATAACTGCTCAAGGTCGGTTTGACTGGCACCGAAGTGAAGGCATCGGCCATGATTCGGGGATTAAAAGAAAAGAATGAAAAATCAAGAATTATCGTTAATGATGCCGACAAACGGAGGTAGTAGTACGGTCCCGGAAGTTTATACCAATCCCGCTCAACAAGTGTATCACCTCCTTGTCATTCCAGTTCAGGTATGTAGAGACTGCAGTGTAATATATCAACTTGATGCTCTAAGGAATGCTATATATACTGTTAAGCAACGCATTTCAACACATATCCTTATCCGATATGCCGAACCTGGCACCGAACTTTTCTTTCGGAATTCCGAAGAGATACATGAACATGTCCGAATCATTTTCGGGGATGCTTCCAGAAATGTCGGGGAAATCTTTGTATGGCAGCGTACTCCGCTTCTTCCTAGCACACAGAGGTCTGTCCCTAGCCAAAGGAGGTTGAGAGGTCCACTGGTGGCCGATTCGTTCCTCTCCTGAGGTAGGGCTTCCTGGCCACGTGATATAAATATCCAGCATCCCGACTCAAAGTTCCATATTGAGAGATGTAAATATACCCCTTCGTTCCGAATCAATAAAACCTGGACGATACGAGGTACTATTGAAACGGCATGCAATAATCCTGAAAGATGATTGGGAAGTTTCCTTCTCAACTTTATCAATTCAGCCATTATTCCGCGAGAGGATACAATTGGTGGTTATTTCCTGAAGCGGGCAACCATCGAGTCGTCTCTAAAATAAACGAGCCAAAGCAACATATCAACATATTTCGACCTTGATGAATCGCGAGCAATCTGAAATTAGATAACTACCAAATTACGTACGCTTTACTTTGACATGCAACTACATGGAACCTCGCGGAGCGGTGTTTTCTTGTTTCTTCATAACCAAAACCAGCGCCTCTTACATGCTTCAATATTTTTATGAGCTATGGTACGGAGTAGTCTACTCTGTACCGTTTTGCAGGAAAAGCTCTCGTAATGATGGCAAAAACCTCGCAACAATACAACAAACCTAGAAACTCTTGCGCCTTGAGGCGACCAGAAACGCCCCTGTTGCAGGTTCGCTGAGCGTCTGAGCGTTCCAATCCTCAATCCAGCAGATATCTGTCGGTCAAGAAAGTCCGACCAATCATGCGGGGTCCAAGAATTGTCAAAAAAAAAAAAAAAAAAAAAAAAAAAAAAAAAAAAAAAAAAAAATGCTCCACTATCCTGCTCCTCTTCCCAAGTTACCTCCTCTTCTGAACTAATACCACTCGGGCGGCACAGTGTGTTTCTCCACTCCAGCCGTCTCTTAGTCTTGCTTTAGTTACTCTTCCCCCTGGTTTACGTTCATTCTTTTTCTTGCAAATAATGGGTCCGAGCAAGTCGTCTTTTTCGATGCAAGCCCTGCGCAGCGCCGCTAACAGGGTCTTTCCCCGCCCCCTTTTCCTTGGTCAGTGGCACGATTGACAAGGCCTGTATCTGCGGACGAATCCAATGGCCCTCTTATTCCCCCACACCACCCCAAGTTCGCTGCATTGATGCTAGGCTATGCTTAAATCCTGCGCTCGGCCCATCACACGTGGCGTGAGCATGAGCCCTGGCCCCTTGGATTCCCCTGTTTCCGGGAATGTTCGCGACAAATCACCCGACGCACGGTGTCACTTCCACGAACCCCGTAGTTGCGCCACCGACTCTCATGGCCTGGATTGAGGAGAGGAGTTAGTTGGATTGCCACCGACGAGTCCGTGAAGCTGCATGGGTTGAGAGATGGGGATATCGAGGCCGAACCGCCCCTAATCATAATCTAAACTCCTTCGTCGCGTGAGAAAAACGGAACGAAATTTCGAGGCACTCAGCCCCTCAATTTGATTCGCACCCGCATCGCATCAAGCGGAGAGACGACCCCGAATTCCAACCTTTGGAAGTTCTGATCGCATTCAACGATCTGGCGAAACCAGGAGCCAGCCGCCGAATAAATCCGAATCTGCGGGCAAACACGCCACGACAAAATGGTTTGGAGATGTGATGTGGTCTGAGTTAATCTTAACTATTTTAGTAAGCAAAGGGGGGATCCGACGCGGCCCGAGCCCTCCCACAGCGATCTAGTGGCGTCTTGCGTAACTACGTGGGCTGGTCTTTTCTTTCTCCATTGGTGGTAAAAAAAGAAGAGCGAGGGGTTTGTATATGAATACTGACCACACAACTTTATTTTGGGTACTGTGTAATGTTATTACCCCATGTGACTGGATGGATATTCCTGGGGAAAGCCTGGTCTAATTTAGCTTTGACGCTTAACTACAACTTTCACACACGCTGGTAGAATCCATTTTTGAAAAGAAAGGAAACATGGCTTGAAGAACAGGGATTGACCCCATCCTGGGTGTGAGTGAGTGAGTACGCCGAAGCATCGGGCTCCTCCTTCACAGCTCGCCTCCTTTGGAAGATCATATGTTGACTTATTTCTGTAATTATGAACATTGCCACTTACGTAGTGTAGACGTCCCACTATTGAGTATAGTAGAGGGATGTAATTCAGCCTTGTACTCTGTACCGATGCATCATCAGGCCCTGAACTGCTGCGCGCTATCGAGCAACTTGAGTTAATGCACGGAGTACGTACAGTCAGTACCAGCTACCTCGCTTCTAGGAGATAAGACAGGGAAATGACTTCACTCACTTGCCATCTCTTTTCGCTCAGCCATTTCGGAGATGCAGGAAGAGGCTGCGCTCATCATGCAACCTATTATTAATAATTGGCATGTATTTTGCTGTTCGTACGCTAAACTTTTGCAGGGGTTGGAGCAAAAAACGTGGCCTGGATAGGGTCAGCAGCAGCCTTCCATCAAATCCTCTCGTATTTGAAGGTTTCGTTTTAGGCTGGGTGGGATCATACTGCTGTGTCCTACGAATTAATAATAATATTTAATAATAATGTCCAGTCTCACACATGGTTACAAAAAAAGAAAAGAAACCAAGCACTAATCTAATCCAATAAATTGCATGGTATATTTTTTACACAACATTGACAGCATGTAAGAGTATTATTTTTTATTTTTTTTATTTTCCTTTTCCTTTTTCATCCTGTGCAACCGGGTGATATTGTCATTAATTTCGAGCCCAGAGAAATCCCAAACAGAAGAAAATGGCTGGCTGACCCCAGGCGCTAGAAGTATTCCAGAATGCGAGGAGACATATCATATCCACATCTCGTGGTTCCATGGAGTTATCCTTGTCAATAATATTAATAGTGAGAGAGAACAATCCCAAATATGAGCTGAGCTGAGCTGGTCGGCGATCGGCGACTTTTGTAGAGTAGACATCAAAAATATCTCTTAAACTGGCGCAAGACCGGCCACCGGATTGAGTTAAACGCATGGAACATTTCTCGAACCATCGCGGAGGCCAAGGAAAATAGGAGTGATGTACGCAGTACTCCGTATGGATGGATGGAATAATTCAAGGAATCAGGCAACTGTGGGAGGGTTGCAGAGCAGATCCATGCAGTGAGGCTGATGTTGTTGATCCTCGATTTCTCGCTTTCTCGCTCTCTCGCTGAATTTGTTACCTCACCCTCCATACAGTAACTATTCCTTACGCGCCCTGCAATTAATGATGCATCCACACAGTAAATAATAATAATAAAGCCCTTCACCTATCGGGAAACCTAGGGGGTTGTACAGTAAATAGCCCATCATAAGACGCACAGTTACAGCGGAGTTCATCTGTAGTGTTTGACAGGGCCTAGCAAACAGACAACATCAACTAAGATAATATCAGATATTAACTACGGAGTAACTTATTTACTTCACAAAATTAAATGTGTGTGACGCAAAACAACCCCGGCGCAAGCAAGCAAGCTACCAGAACTGAACAAGCCCTGAAGCTCATCTTGCCCAGCACTCACTGCCCGCGCTAATCACGTATAATCCCCTGATTCAGTGGGCCTTGCTTGGTTCCTACTGGTGATGGCTTCTTTTTCTTTTTCTTTTTCTTCAGATTCTCCGTTGTCCCGTTGTCGGCGTCAAGGGATCTACGTCCCTCCCGGAATAATCTAGCACTAACGCCGCTCAGCAGTTGGTCATGCCCATCATCCGTTTATCGCAGCCTCAGATGCTTTATTTCTGGTAATAATAATGCAAACATCAATCGCCAAAAAGCAGCCACTAATATTCCCAGAAGAGGAAGAAGATTTAGTCCGATTTTCTGGGTTGTGTCTCCAATCCTCGGACAAGAGGGCAGGCATGTGTTGTGGTGGAATTTTTCCGTGCAAGGCGCTGAAGATGCAGTGATACAATAACAACCTCCATTTGCTCTTCATTATTCTATTCTTCCGGAGAAGGTCGCAATTGATCATCATCATCCATTAAGTGCGTTTACATTATGTATCCAAGGACTTGGGGGGACAGAAATATCCGTAGTGTGAAAGGATTGTTCCAATTGGTGTGCCAGCCGGAATGTCCAAGATGAAATGCAAGGAAAACATCGAAGAGTTAACTAGTTATTGCTAAAAAAAAAAAAAAAAAAAAAAAAAAAAAAAAAAAAATTGATAGAAGGAAGGGTTTCTCCTTTTCCAAGAACTCTAACTACCGACAAGTGGATAAGTTACGCTATAACTAGGTATGATGTGAACTGTCTGAGCGTCGGTTGGCTGAACTGGGTAATCCCACAAAACTAGCCGTAACGAATATTCGAGACAAAAAATAAATACTGGGGGAGAAGAGAAAAGAAGAGATCTCCGCTGAGCGCATGAAAGCTTTGATCTCATCATCTTGAGGGCGAGAAAACAGAGAACTGGGTTGGGGGAGGTTCAAGTGGAGCATTCTTGATCACAGGATCATTGAGATTAATTTAGGCTTCTTTTTCTTTTCAGCCTTCCTTTCGAAAGTGATAATCCAGACGCAGGGGTTCTTTGTCCCGGCATTTTTCGTGCAGACTGATGAGTTACATGTATGTACATGTCTCGTTGAGTCGTTCACCGCTCGAGTGCGGCTCATCCGGAAAATTTCAGCCGGGGTTCGTGGCAGAACGAGCGCGATTGTTTCGTTAAAGCCAGGGAGAAAAAGCCAGTCATCTCTCGCCCCTCGGCCCCTAACTGGCAGTCTGGCACACAAGCCAGCCGCGAATTGAGTTTCGGCGCTCCCAGTGGGCCAGTGGACACCATACGCTAGGTTTCAGGCTCTGGCAAGTTGTGGCAAGGCGCATGGCTTGTGGAGCAAATGGGGCGGGTTTGGGGCTCCCACCTGTGCGACGGACGGCCGAACCAGCAACCGAGTCTCCAGTGGTGTTCTCCAGATGCCAGATGTCAGAGCGAACCTCAACCAGGACACAGGGAGGGCGATCATGATTTTGGTGGGCTGGAGAATCCAGAAGAAGTCACCGCCACAGTGGAGCTTCATTTAATTTGCTTCCTTTTTGCTTCTGAACTGTTGTCCAAAAGTTCGACGGGCTGGCTTTGCTAGCTTCGAGTGGAAGTGAGTGGGAAGAAAAACGCAGAATAATAATATGAAAATTTGCCGGAAAAATAAAAAAAATAAAAAAAAAAAAATCGAAGATCATCAATTTTGTACTCCGTATAGCATGTAGTATATTTCCTTGTTTGGGGGGACGACTAAGGGGTAAAGGGGAATATTGAGCCCTGTCATATTGTGTCACCGCACTCACACTCACACACAAACAGGAGTGGCACACTCCACCATTCCATTCCCAAAAATGGGCAAAATTGCAACATCATTGACGTCTATCCCCTAGAGCTCTTGATCCGAGATCCCGGTACTCTGGGTCATGCAGGCCTTAATGCTGCGCATTTTGCGCTTGGGATCAAATCGGCCACACCACAACCACCCACTACGCTCCCTGCATACGCATACAGCGTAGATAGTTGGCAGCTAGCGCAGACTGCGAACAGGGGGGAGGCAAAAAAGAGAAATTTCTTATTACATAACTACATAGTAGCTGCTGTAAAGCTACTGATGACATCGGGAATGTGTGCCCTGCAAACATCAAATTCCATGCACGGGAGGGATGTCTGGATTATTTTACACGAAAGCACCAATATATTATGATTATCTTGATGCATGGAATTTCTTCCACACTTGCTGAAATGTTAGAGATGACCGCGATTGTCAGAAAATGAACGATTCACTTTTCACACTCGTATGGTGGCTGTGGGGAAAGAAGAGAAATAATCCTGCTGAAACAGTTGAACATTCAACGAGCTAATTTAAGAAGCTGGATGGATATAATAGCCGACGACAGACTCGGGGATACATACGATGATTAACTGAACCATCGTTTGGCTTTCATCATTCAATATGCAGGTTTATTACGTGTGGCGAAAATGTGTGTATCGCTGCATCTATGTAAGAACTGAATTGATCTATGAATGTACTGCACAGGGCTCTTGGGGTTACACTGGCAGGGAATGCAGGTTTCTCGCATACAGCTCAGCTTCAAAATTATAATAATTCATAATCGTGTGTTAGCAGTTGATATGATTATATTTCCATCATCTCCAATTCCCAAACAAAAAGATAATACCTGAGTGAGTGGGAATAATGCGCCATAACCGAGAACAAAGGGCAAAAAAGGAAAAAAGAAGAAGCAGGACAGGTGGATCCCCATCCGTAGTTAGTTAACTACTTATTATTTGAAGAACGCGAGGAGACAAAAAGAAACAAAAAAAAAACACCATTACGCACACAGAAGCTGTAATTTATCCTTGAGATGCAGAAAATAAGCAACAAAAGTACAGGACATCGCGCACACACAGATCATAATAATAAAAATAATAAATAATGGTTATCTCCGGCGCAGGCAAGAAGAAGAATAGGCATCAGTTTGCCTTATTTTAGTCCCCGGGGGGTGTGTTATTATTATTATGCGGATAAGGTCAAATGAAAGCGGAGGAAATTTTGAAGAAAACTGGGAAGAAAAGAAAAAGAAAAAGCAATATAAAATACCGGGTACCTCGTTCTTGTCTGACATTTGCATTAATTATGTCTTGATTAATTTTCCCTTTTTCTCAACATATTTAAATATCTCGTTTCTTCCTGTTCTCCCTCCCCTCGACTTTAAGCCTCCTCTATCAAATACATTCAACCCGTTATTATATTCTCCTCCAAAGAATTCCACAATTCCTCCCACTCTCATTAACTAATTCGATATATAAATAGTTAACCCTACTCCCTGCTCCTCTACAATTCCAAGCTTGATATCTCCACGTCAAGTCTTCTTCCAGATAGTGCACACAAACACACAAACCATATATATCCGGTCTCCTCGAACTTTGCCCAACTTTTTCTCAGGAACAACAGCCTCCGACTCTCACAATGCCTTCTTCCTATACTCCCTCCGCGAGCCAATATCCTCCTTGCCCCGGCCCTCCTCCCAAGGGCCCTCTTCCACCGGTACCTAAATAAGAGCGTCACTATGGGGTGGTGTTTGCGTGGTTGATTATTGATTCTCCTCAAAGTCTTTCTAATCGTCTTCGAACTCTTGACCTTCCTCTTCTTCTCCCACCCCTGGGCCTCTTGACCGCCCTCCGAACCCTCATGTATAACAACAGGCCATAATAGGCAGCTGGCTGTCAGTTGTGTCTTGTATCATCGATATGGATCCTGAGAACACCTCTATTTCAATTCGTTGGCTTTCTCCAACGCCCTCCTGCGTCGGGCCAAGAAATCCCTTTCTCTGCTTGCATGCTTACTTTTTTGTCGTCTTTTCAATTTTTAATTTTTCAATTTTTCAATTTTTCAAATTTTTTTTTCTTCTTCGCCATTTTCTCGGCATTCCTTTAACCGCCCCACGTCACGTCATACATAACATTCGAGCTCGCCGGATCCCTTACGACTGCTCTAATGCGATACTGCTAACCACTACTGCTAACCACTACTGCTGCTTACCCGAGACCCGATGCCTAAATCAGTCAGCAAAACCTTGCGCTCTTCCCTGTCAGCGGATTTCGCCTAATCCCAAAGAGAGAGAGAGGAAAATATTATGGAATGGGAAAAAACGCCAATTAACCCTGTCGCCATGAAATACGATTTCACTCACCGCCTCAAGGTTCAGCTAAATACGAGTTATGACACATTGCTCTTTTCTCAATGGTCTCGAGTTTTTCCCTCTAGTGCGCTTTGATCTTCGTTGCTCCGGGGTAGTTAAATCCACGTGGACTGGCAAGCCGCAAATCTTTTTTTGGGAGCAATATCCGGCTCTACCTGCGACTCTGTCTGGGCATTCTGCACGACGTTGTTCCGGGTACCCCTGAACCCGTCAAGCCCCTGGCCACCCAAGGCCTGCTAGCAGTCGTAGCTTCGGCTTCCTCAAGTCATCTGACACCTGGAATCCTTTGTTTGCCAATCCTTTTAACGACGATTCTTTGAGCAAGCCCTTGAGCCAGGTCGCTTATTCATAACGACGCCATACCCGGACAACCCGCCCATTGCCCCTCTCCCCGCAGACACTATTACCAACATGCATAGCGTCCCCTGCCACAATATCCATGCTGACTGCAATGCTTTATATGCATTCCCGATCTTCACACTGCATATCCTGGAATCTCATCGGTTCTTTGGTAGTCGAGACCTCGCGCGCGACATGGATTCCTCAAGCGAACTCTATGTGTCGTCACTTGGGGCGGCGGGGCAACCGTAAAAGAGGGGCTTTAACTCCGCCGGCCAGTTGGCGGTAATTATGATAATGCAAGCTTTAGCTTTTTGCAGTCTCCTATTGACGGAGGGATGCGGAGAGATGGAGAGCGTCATATCAATCGGAGGCTCCACATCGCCAGCATGCGTCGCTCCGCCAATCCTTCGGCAGTTTATATGCATGCTTACTCGCATAACTTGCTTGCTTCGACCAATCGACGAAATCTGCATGCTGCCCCAATCTCCGTGGACCTTCGCCTCCTCCCACCCCATTCCATTCCCGCCTGTCTTGCCGCCTTTGTGACGAACCCTGTCTGCAGCCCCTTTTGCCAGTTATGCGTTTGCTTCAGGATAATCTTCAGACAACTCAGAGGGTCCCTGCACTGGCACTCTCCCACACGTCGAGTTCCCCTCAGCCTGTGCGACATCAATCATTGACAAATCACCAGTTGTGCATGGGCAGCTGCCCTACTAAGGCATGGCTTGATGGGGGGTATTTTGACAGTACATTTTTTGACCTTTCTCTCACCCACGCTTTCCCGCCGACGCTTCTCCACTTTGAATCTTGACGATTCTATCTTTTTCATCTTCTCTTTCCCCTTGCTCTGCTCTCGAGGTGTTTTCCGGCTTGCCAGTTCGGCATGAAGCTCATTTCCCCTTCTTCTTACCTCATTCACCCCGTCACGCACCACCCTAACCAACCCTACTATACCCCAGTTCTCACCTATCTCTACCCCTTCCCTTGGCCTTCTTTAGTCTCTGTTCTTTTTTTCTTTTCTCTCTCTTTTTTCTTTTTCTTTTTGCTCTTTTCATATTTCTGTCTTACCAGCCTTTTAATTCACACCACTCTGTAATGTCTTTTTTTTCCCCCTATTTTGCGCCTGTATTATTATTGTAATAATGTCTTGCTAATCACTGATCGAAATGTTGTCATGTCGTGGATGACGATGACTTCCGTCTTCCTGGTTTTTCATTTAATCGTGTATTTTTTTTCCCTATCTCGTGTCAGCTCAATGCATCCATACCCTGGCGTTTTCTCTTATTATGCCTCTTTTGTCGTTTGAAGCATATTGCTTGCTCGCGTGCTTACTTTGGATTTTATTCCCTAAGTAATAATCATATCCTTTTGGGCATATAGTGCATTGGGAATGGAATGTACAGCTTTCTCACACACCCACACACACATTTTCTTTTCATAATTAGTGGTGGCATTGCATGGTGGTATCTGTGTTGTACCTCACCGTAACGATCCCACGTGTGAATGATATTCATACTATCTATCCTCTATCCCGCTTTTTCCTTAGTTTTATCCCATGTAGCTTGTAGCTTTGTGAGCCCTGGGCAGTCTCAATGACATATGCTGGGTGTGGGTGTTTTATTTTCAACCCCCCCGGTTATGGTTATTGGTTTTACAAGAGTGAGTTTGCAAATTCGAGCAGTGATGCAATGATGCAAACGCAGCAAACACTCAACCCGCCCCATCGTGGCGCCATCAACGACAGGAGTATAAACACCCCTCCTTCGCGACAATCTTCGACCACCGCGGATGCTGTCTTATACCTTTTACTCTACATAGCCATATCTTCCGCTTACCTGTCCATTGCGTCGATTGACTTCCTTGGCACCTCGGGCACTAAGCCATGGATGACACTTCTGCCGCTCCCTCTGTGCCGGAGGGAGTGTTTTCCCTGCTGGATACTGACCTATACAAACTTACTATGCAATGCGCGGTGCTGAAATACTTCCCCGATGCTGGTGAGTGGGTCTTTAATTTCTCCTTTGCAATCTATTTTCTCTGATGTTGTTAATTGGACGACTCCGTTGCTAACCAATTACCCGTTGCGCGTGGGGTCCCTCCCCAGGCCGCTGGGCTGTATGTATGACGTGCAGAAGTCACGTACGCCTTCACCAATCGGACAAAGGATATGAAATTTACTAGGGCCGCTTACACATGGCTGAAGAATGAGATTGAAAGTATGTTTTTCTTTACCTTTTCCTTTTTATTTTCTCCTTGATCGTGCTCCTCATGACCGAACGTCCGGATCAGCCAACCCGAGTGACTCATGCCTTCATCAGGCTAATGGGTCTACATCATGCAGTTTTATTATCATAAATTGTATGTTTTTAGTTTTATTTTTCATTCTGACGCTCTGCAGAACTTGCAAATATCTCACTCACACCTGAGGAACACGAATACCTCAAGTTACAATGCCCATACCTTAATCCTGCTTACCTGCGCTACCTGTCATCCTTCCACTTCAAGCCCACAGAACAACTCGACATCTCCTTCATCCCTATAAATGATACTGGTGCCGACTCAGATATCGGAGATATCAACATAGCAATACATGGCCTGTGGGTCGAGACAATTCTCTACGAGATACCTCTCCTTGCGATCGCCAGTGAGGCTTATTTTAAATGGTGTGATCGTGACTGGGATTACCACCAACAAGAAGAGAAGGCATATAGGAAGGCCGCCACCCTTTTAGAGCACAGATGTATCTTTTCAGAGTTTGGCACGCGCCGGAGAAGGAGTTACCATACGCAGAGTCTGGTCATGAGGGGCCTCTGTCGCGCTGCAGCTGATGGCAAGGAAAAGGGCTGGAAGGGTGTCTTGTCTGGCACCAGCAATGTGCATTTCGCTATGAAGCATGGTGTCGCTGCTGTGGGCACTGTTGCTCATGAGTGGTACATGGGAATTGCGGCTATTACTGATAATTATGAAAATGCCAACGAACTGGCTTTGCGTTATTGGCTGGGCTGTTTCGGGGAAGGGGTCAGTGTTACTTCCCGCTTGAAGTTTTGAGCATACATGAGAAAATCTGAGGCTAACACAAAAGACGTGAAGGTACTTGGCATAGCCTTGACGGATACCTTTGGCACACCCGCTTTTCTAGATGCATTTCGCAAGCCAATACCGGGCTACACAACGGCAACACAAGGAGCAGAAGGTACTATGGCCTCGTTCGCAGGTGGAAATTCCACAACTGACAACTTGTCCGAGACGGAACCGCCAATTGCGGCCCCTATAAAATCCTCTCCCGCCGTGAAAAAGGAGGAACAACATACCCCGTCAACCAAAACATACGCACAGGCCTTCACGGGTGTGCGCCAGGATTCGGGTGATCCAGTCTACTTCGTCAAGATGGTACGCGACTTTTACGACAAGGAAGGCATCAAGGATAAGAAAACACTTGTGTTCTCCGACTCGCTGAATCTGCAGCTGTGTTTGGACTACAAGGTCGTTGCTGATGAAGCAGGCTTTCAACCTGTCTTCGGTGTCGGGACGTTCCTTACCAGTATGTGTTGCCTTTTTCCTACCCTGCACCACTATGATTTTATTATAGGCCCCCCACCCCATTGCTCATTTTTCCTATTCTAACCTTTATTAACAATTCAAATAGACGATTTCTCCCAGCTATCCGACCACAAGAAATCTGTCCCGTTAAATATTGTCATAAAAATCTCCTCTGCCGGCGGCCGGCCCGCCGTCAAACTTTCAGACAATCTCGGCAAAAATACCGGTGACACCCATACCGTTGTTGAGGTTAAGAAGCGCCTTGGGTATGTTGAGCGTGACTGGCAGAATGGAGATGAGACGCGGAGGTGGGGGAAGAGGGGCGATTGAGGGTGTATTTGTGGGGGTTTTATTACCATTGACATAGATATATGACTTCTAAGCAGCGAAGTTCGTCATGAATAGAATGTTTCCTCGACTAGTAGCAAGTCTCTTTATTAGAAGAACAAAAGGGAAGACACGCGCATGATATCAGGTGTAGGCAATGAATTTGTTGTATTAAAAACGAACGTCTTATAACACTGAATACAGAAGATCTATTGATACAAACCGGCTGATGACTTCAAGTGCCTTATGCTTTTGAATAATTTGACAATAATATGATGTGCTTCTCTACCTGCTTTCCCCTACTCTTTCTACTCTTTCATCTTCCAGCCTACGCAGAGGAAATCATTACTTGAAGGATCAAGATGCCAGCAAGCGCTACACACGGCTATTATCACAGTAACTCGGACTCCGACTATTTCTCACCCTCCAATTACCTCATGTCCCTCGCTGCTTAGATAGATCAAGCTGCCTTCCTGGCTACATGATACCAGCTCCATTAGAACTTCATGCTTCATGGTCTTGGGTGAATATTCGCCTAGGTACTTAGGTATGGAGTTGATCCCCTCCCCCGTCCCTGGCGGACTCCAACTTCCCCAGCAATATCTCCCCAACATTCCACCCTCGCAACCGCGAAGTCCCAGGGGGCTTCGATCTGCGCCTGAGCAGCCTGTTTCAATCATGGTGTAGCAAGCTACTGTCTATCGTCAGAATTGCTCAAGGATATGATGGATATTGAGTAGAAGCAGGGTTGGGAAATGGCCCTTCCTGAGAAATGAGAAATAGGGAGACCTCGGTTTATCAAGTATTCAGGGATTTAAAGTGACTGATATAGATGAAGTGCGATAATAGCATAATGGAATTCAATATTTCCACCTATATCGAGTTGACAGCGCGATGGAGTTTTATCCAACGACGAAGCAAACCGGGTGAATTGGAAATAGTCAGCTACAGGCTCAGCGAGTAGGTCTCAAAGATTTTTTACTTTTTATGAATTTTTGTCTTGTATTAACACGGTATCTCTTCCTTTCGCCTTGATATTTCCCGGCATTTCTACCATTCTGCGGGGGCAAGAAGAGGGGATGCAGACGACCCGTGTATGTGGGAATTGGAAAGGAGTTAGCTAACTAGCAATATCTTGTGGAACCCAATAAACGCCGGCGGGTTTCAGGCCAATAAATGCAGCTCCTGTTGCCGCACGGGAAACTCCCGACATCATCGGTTGCGTTTTCCTTTATCGAGGCCTATTTGAATTCATCGTTCTGGATGCAAATGTGTGTTAAAAAGAAACTACTGCTCGGGAACTGCATGAAGTTTCAAATGGGTGCAATACTTTATTTTATTTATTGCTGTCGCTTTGTTGCCTCATTGTGTCCTTTCTTTTGACCTCTTCATTTTTCCCCCTTGTTTTGTTGGTAGATTCCTCGCCGCTAGTTGATCTATCCCAAAGGATGGTGGGATTAAGGCGATTGTTGTTGGTGGAGGCTCTATCTCATTGTGTGGCAGTAGTTTGGATTTTCTTTGAAGCTCTGTATATTAAGCTTCCGAAAGAATAAGTTGGTAGATCCGTTAATAGGGCTGACTTTTTTTCAAGATCTCTTTAGCTTCCATGATTCTGCTGTTCTCGATGATTTCGGAGCTGGCACTGGACAAAATCGTTGGTGCTCTGTCATTGGCAGCGTGCATATGCTAGTGCGAGTCAGAATGCAAGTGTTACGACTGAGCTATTTTTATAAGCGATATTAGTGGTTGATGTGGTGGATCATGCGGCGGCTTAGAAAGTTAACGGCCGTTAACTAGTTAGTTAGGCTGGCGGCAGAATTTTGGATGGATGGGTGTTCGTGCCTCATTATTAACTTCTTGGGCCTGGCTTGCTTGCCAATGCCACAGACAGTGTGTGCCATCATGTTCGATGGTCGTGCGGCTGGCGTTTAGGCTGGGTATTCGCGCACTGCTAGTTGCATGTATGTCGTAGCAGCCAGCCCTCAGATACGTCCATGGATCTCAGCCGCAACATACGAACTCTGTCCACCAGCGGACTGGCCGGGTTGGAATGGATCTGAGCATCGGGACATGGGGATATGCATCGTCTACGGTGGCAGCGGCGGGGTATACAGCCGGCATCACGCAGGATATTGTCTGCCGCCCGATTGTTTCAGGGCTGGTATTTCTTGCAGGTATTTCTTGCCGGCAAGGGGACGGCGAAGGGGGTGAGGTGAAGCAAGAGGCTTTGACTTGATTGTTAGTTAGTTTGAAGTAGAGAGGCGATTTGTAAAGTGTATGTTCGAGTCTACCTGGGGGTTGTTATCTTTGTCATTGTATGGAGAAGCGGAAGTGGATGAATCCCCCGTTAGTCAAAGGAACTTAGTGGGTACCTATTTGACCCGCTAAACCTCCATATAAAATCAGGTACCTCTCGTGTTCCTTGGATGACTAAGGCCCCAATTGAGGCTAATCCCAACTCAGCCCCTTCTCCCTGTGTCAATTTCAGCTTCAAACCTCAATTCTTCACCTCTTCACCTCTTCACCTGCACTGCTCTATCTCTCTTGGACGCTTTTCCTCCCCTCTCTTAGATCTGTGTATTCTTCTCCTCCCGCTTGTTCTGGTTTTCAATCTTCTACCTTGCATTCTGATCCCCGTGTGCTCGTTTTCACATCGTTTCCGGGACCAATCTCTACAGCCGCGTACCCACCTCGATCCACCCGTATCCCCTTTTCCATCCCGTCCCCTTAACCAATTTAACCAATTCAATTTTCTCTCACCACCACCACCCACACCAACGACAAAGATATACTCTTTTGGGCGGCTATCTCTCTTCTAATTACTTTATCTCGACGACAATTGGAATACAGTCCGAATAGCTACCATTTAACGTGGTTTTGCCGCCATCATGAGTGTGAGTGTCTCTTGCCGTCCGTTGCGGTTGGCGTGCTCCCTCTCCCAACCTCTCTTCTTGCCTGCATATCGAATTGAGAACCTATAAGTCTTATTATAATGTACACCCCGCTGATATGGAAGCCCGTTCGGGGTCGCGTTGCATCTGACAGTATAATAACTACGGCGGCCAAGGCTACGGCCAATACGACCCATACAGCGCTCGACAAGACAATAGATATAATAACGATGTCGAAGCCGGTGCCGGTCGTTATGGTACGTTGTTATTAATAACTCCTCTTATCCTTTCCCCCATACTGGTTACAAATACCAAGAAATACTAATCCGCTTTTGCGCACCAGAAATGTCTCCATACGATCCTCCAGTCCAAGGAGGCTACGATGAACCAAATGACAAGCGTGCGATCCTCAATCAGTGTAAAGATATCGAACAGGGTATCGATGAGGTAGAGAAGTACATCGAGCAGATCCAGGGTCTGTACCGACGTCTACTCACAGATGCGGACCCCACCCGCGAAAATGCGATTCGCTCGCAGGCAGATGGGTTGGCCAGTGATGCGAAACGCCTATACCAGAATCTGATCCAACGCTTGAAGAGCATAAAACAGACCCCCGGTGCTGGAGAGAGCATCAACAGTGCTCAGATTGGCAGAGTCGAGCGGAAGCTCAAATCCGCTATCACGAATTTCCACGCCGTGCAGTCGGATTTCCGCAAGGACTTGGAGGCGCAAATGGCAAGGCAATACCGAATTGTGCGACCCGATGCTACTGATGAGGAAGTTAAGGAAGCTGTTCAAGACCCGTCGCAACAGCAAATATTCAGCCAGGCTGTAAGCACCTAACCCCTTCCCCCGACTCCCCACAAACAAAGCAGCAGGGAATCCATACCAGGCATCAAGAAAAAACCGCCCTCTCTCAAGGTGGAATACTTCTGCCTATTGACAGCTGATACTAATCTTGACCTCTCCCCTGCTGCCACAGCTTATGCAAAGCGACCGACGCGGTGACGCCCAAAAGGTTTCGCAGATGGTTCGCGCCAGGCACGATGAAATCCTGAAAATTGAGCGCGACTTGCTAGAACTTTCTCAGATGTTCCAAGATCTTGATGCTATCGTCATACAGCAAGAAGCTGCTGTCGAGCGGATCGATGAACAGACCGAACAGATCCATGATAATATAACGAAGGGCAACGAGGAAATTGGTGGTGCGATCAAGAAGGCTAGGGCTCGCAACAAGAAGAAGTGGATCTGCCTCGGCATAGTTGGTGAGTATATTCATTCTTATATTTCCATTGAAGGGTTAGCATATTAATTCGCATATTCTACAGTTCTCATTATCCTTGTGCTGGTCCTTTTCTTCGCAATCTATTTCACAGTTGGACCTGGGGGTAACAATGGCGGCAAGTAAGCTGAAATGGTCCGCTGCCTTGTCCGCCTGTTTGCGTTGTTCCTGTCAGTGGAAATTACTGCCAGTGCCTATTATTCTACCATACTCCCTGCTGCTTGAGCCTGAACCTCGTACGATTCCAATGGGCTGTGGTCGAGTCGGTCGAGTCGGGGACTATCCGACCACCCACTCCCCGTTGACTTCCCCCTATTTAGCCAATAGCCAAACCGCACGGCTAGCCTGAGTCTTGCATCAATCTACCCGTACTCCTCCTCTCTTCTTATTCCCTTCCCTTCACAATCCAATACCCCCGTCGGCTCCAACACCCGCCGAGGTTTTCCAGTATCCTTTCTACCCGCACTACCATACCCGTATCGCGGTTTTGGTATACGAAATCCTCAGTTCGGTTACCTTCCATTATCCCACTTATTTTCTCCTTTTTCCAAGCCTTTTAAATTGTTCAGTTTCGGCGTACTATTCTCATCCCTTTTTTTTTTTTTTTTTAATTCCGTTTCCTTACTTTTTGTACTGTGACTACTCTCTATCTAGCCTTTCCTCGTTTATCTCCTCTGCTTTTTCCATACTCGTGTACACAGCCACTATCCCGTGTTTCTTATTCCTTCCTATCTAGTCCCGTTTTTAATACTCGTGTTTCGAAGTTGCTCTATTTATTTTTAGTTTATTCCATTTTAAAAGGTGAGTGTCTGGTTAAGAAAAGAAAAATAGTCTGCTCTGCGCCTTGTATGCCATTTCTTCTGTTCTCCCCGAAAGACGAAACTCAACACATAGTAATATCCCATTCAACTCTATTTTATTTCTTAGCATTCTGACTTTGTTCTCCTTGCTGTGTTTTCAATTTTACTGTCTACTGAATTCCATCCTTCGTCATTGCCTGTTCTTTTAATCTCTTTTTGCTCGTCTTCGCCTGCCATCCATTGGATTAGATATCTCTTTTGTATTAACTACTTTTGCGGATTATATATGTATATTTTCTATTGAATCATATTTTTACCAACCGACTCTCGTTTCCGGTTGATCACTCTTCGAAAAACGAAGAGGCTCGTAGTGGGGAATTTTATAGCTTTGACACGTACCCAACGGGAAGACTGGAACGAGTTATATATATATAATATACCTCTGTATATGAGAATGGCAAGAGCTCCAGGTCCAAGAGTAGAATTTATTCCTATACAGTTGTTTATATCAGATAGCTCGCTATTTTATTGTTACAGTTAAGACGGCGCACTTCGTCTTCATGTAGATGTATAGATATATTAACCCACTCACATCCATATCCACATCCAGCACACGTTTAACCCTCTCACTCCCCCGCCTCAACCTCCTTCTCCTTCGTCCCCAGCTCCCGATCCCTCGCCTCCTCCTCCACTGTCCTTGTTTTCAACTGCAAGGCATGGATTCCCCCTTCCCGCGCCAACTCCTCCTTCAGCGCGGCATAAACCATGCGATGGCGTGCGGCTTGCGTCTTGGCTACGAACGAGGGTGATGTTACTGTGATGCTATTTGGGTTTAGAATCGCGGCGGGCCCTTGTGTGAATAAATGAGGGGGGAAAGGGGGTAGTTAGGTTGTTAGGTAGGGGGATTGTTACTGAAAATGCGTCTCTGTCGATGTGTTACCGCGCATGGGGGCGTGGTGGGCGTGGAGTTTTGAGTCGTTCCGGATTATGAGGGTGGAGGGTTGGAGGGTTTGTTGGAGCTGGATTTGGTTTATCATTGTTAGCAGCCGGTCTCTCCGTTCCTGGCTTGAGAGATATGATATGGAAATATATCATTGATACCTTCTCGCGGATGGCATCTTCCATCGGCGTAGACGACATGGTGGTTGCGCTGGAGATGGAGCGGAGCTGTCCGGTTAGCAGCAGAAGATGATTCTGGCGCGGGAGAATGGAGCGGAGCATTGGGTATGTTTATGAGTATCTGTGGATATTGTTTCTTTTGGAGAATAATCGCATATGAAGACAGAAATTAAGAATGTTCGATCGAGCTTGTTAAAAGATACCAGTTTCGTGGTTAAATACTTAAATATTGGTTTGGTCCTTTTTTCGCTGGCGGGATTTCTCCCCCCCGAAAGTCATCGACCATTTTTTTCAATCTTCCATCCCTATAATAAATATCACAGTTTCTCGCTCCTCTGTCCACACCCTAGAAACATTCCTCTGTATTGAGAAGGATGGCGTCAATGTCTTCGGTCGAGCTGCATATACACATAATCTCCTCAATAATCTAATAATTCAATTCCTCTTGCTCGTTCTCTGCGGCATGGCCGAAAGCTATATTTATACCAACCACCAGAAGCTCTCCGCAGATTGTATGCTTCGGAAGATCCAACATGCTCACCTCACGCAGGCTAATATCTCTCACTCGCGCATCTTGCGGCCGTTCCTTGAGACCTTCTCTCAGAGCTTATCTCTCTTCCGGCTCTCTCCTCCAAACTCGCCTCTCCTCCACCCTCCCTGACCTACCCGTCCTCCGCGCCATACAAAATCACGACCCGAAATCAATAGCCGTCGTTCACAGCGTCTCCGGCCGATCCTTCACCTATGGCAGCTTAATTGGCGATGTCTTGCGCTCCCAAGAGGGCCTGTTGCAATGTGCTGCTGCAAGCTCTAAAAATGTAGTTTTGCGCGGGTCACCCGTGGCTTTTTTGGCGGAGAATAGTTATGACTACGTAGGTACTGTTACAAGCTCAATCAATCTAGTATTACCAGATGTATACAACCGGATATCGTTATTGAAGGGTGGGAAAATGCTGATGGTTTTGAAACTTTAGTGACACTGCTCTCCATCCTTGCTTGCGACGGCATCGCCCTGCCCCTTTCACCAAGCTTCCCAGCTGGAGAGTTGAGATACATTCTGGACAATTCGCAGACTGGTGTATTACTGGCAACGGAAAAATATAGCAAGAAAGCTCGGGAACTAGTCGAGACCGATCTAGAAAATGCTCCAGTGTTGAGAACACTTGATAAGATCGAAAGTGGTGCTGGTCCAACTGCACAACTGCATTTTCAAGATGCAGCAGACTTGCGGGGTGGAATGATGCTATACACGTCGGGAACTACGAATAGGCCTGTGAGTAATTTTGGCAGGATGTACAAAGCTACCCGCACCTTTATATATTAACGCACGTACAATAGAAAGGAGTCCTCCTCCCCCAAACCGCTCTCTCAGCGCAAGCCCGGTCCTTGGTCGAGGCATGGGAGTACTCACCGGTCGACCGGCTGCTCCATGTCCTCCCCCTCCATCACATCCACGGCATAGTCAATGCCATTCTCACTCCGTTACTAGCAGGCTCGTCTATCGAGTTCATGTTCCCGTTCAACCCAACCGCAGTCTGGAACCGACTAGCAGCCCCATTCATGCCATCCAACAAATCCATCAGCGATCATACTAAACCAAACAGGGAGAAAATCACCTTCCTAACCGCTGTCCCAACAATATACAACAGACTCCTAACAACTCACAAAACCCTCCCATCAGAAACTCAACGAGCAGCACAAACAGCCATCTCGCCGGCAAACCTCCGGTTGAACGTCTCCGGTTCTGCCGCCCTACCAACCTCCACAAAGGCCGCGTGGAAGCAGCTTAGTCACGGCAATGTCCTCTTAGAACGGTACGGGATGACTGAAGTCGGCATGGCGCTCAGCTGCGGTTTGGATTTTGCTGACCGCGTCGACGGCAGTGTCGGCTGGCCTCTCCCACATGTCGAATGTAGGCTTTTTGACACGGACGCCAACGAGGTTATTAGACCCGGTGAGGAGGTTGACGCCAATGGGCGCGAGAGGGTGGGTGAAATCCAATTGCGCGGGCCGACAGTCTTCAGGGAGTATTGGAAGAATGAGAAGGCGACGAGGGAAGAGTTTACGGAGGATGAAGATGGAAAAGGACGTTGGTTTAAGACAGGCGATGTGGCTGTGCGCAGACATGTTCGTGGTGCTGGTGCCGGTGCGAGACAGAACGAGGAAGGACAGGAGTGGTGTCGCGGCCCGTTGTATTTCATCCAAGGCCGCAGGAGTGTGGATATCATCAAGACAGGTGGTGAGAAGGTTAGCGCGCTGGAGGTTGAGAGGGAGTTATTATCGTTGTATGTTGCGCAACCCTCCCCCCTTCCTTTCGCGTCATATAATTTCCAACAGGTAGGCATGGCAACTTGTTAACTGTAGCATAGACCCCAGGTCACAGAAGCAGCTGTCCTCGCGCTCCCCTCGCACCAATGGGGGCAGAAGGTCGGGGCCGTCCTCGTCCTCAACCCCGATTTCGCAAATACCGGTCACGGCGGCAAAACATGGGGGATAATGGATATGCGTCGTGCGCTTAAGGGGAAGCTTGCTACGTATAAGATTCCGTCGGAGATACGGGTGTTGGAGGATGACTTACCGCGCAATGCCATGGGCAAAGGTATGTAATTTTCCGACGCCCGCTGCGGTACTGGAGAGGGAGGGATATGCGGGTGGCTGACTGATTGATATAATGTGGGATAGTTAACAAGAAATTGCTGGCGAAGTTGGTTTTCGCGGATTTGCTAGAGTCGTAAGCGGTAGGTGATACGTTGCATTTTCCTTCTTCCCTTACGGGATGGATGGATTGGGGATGAGAGGAAAGGGAAAGATGGATGCGATGCTTTCACACGGTATAACACGATGCACGCCGTTATTGTGTTTTCATAGATTGATCGATGGAATATGGGATGGACGCATAGAAAGGAAATACATAGACTTATACGATAGACGGGCTTTTCCAAGGCTGCCTCTCCAAACCATATTATACTACATAGAAAGAAATACTGACTTCCCCCCCCTCCGTTCCTTTTCATGTTCCCCCCGTCATGATGAAAATATGTGGCTAGGCCTAGGTAACTTCAAGTCTGATTTCCCTGTTGTTATTGGTTATGGTTGTTTACATATTCAATTCCATAACTCTGAGCCCGGACTTGAATGGCTACAACGTTGTGTTGAGGTAGTCTGCGCATATACAGCTGGCTTTGACCAAATACATACCTCACCAACACAAAAATAATATTGTCTCTTTCTTGGGGTTACCTATTAAGATGTATATGAATTGCCAAATAGACAAGGAACATAAAAGCTAGACTCAGCAGAAACTGGAAATGAAGCACTACAGCCTATGAAAAGCAAGACGGGGCGAGAAAAGAGAAAAATATAGAAATTATTAGAACACATGGTAACTGAGCAAAGTACAAGCGGATTCTTTTTTGTAAACGCAATCTAAACGGGGAAGATAAACAGGGGTGGATATTTTGAAATAAAAAAATAAAATAGAAAATAGAAAATAAAAAGGTATCAATCGAAATAATGTCGGATTGCATTTGGGATTGGGGATTGGGATAATGATTATTCCGCGGGGCCACCTGGAGGGAATTGGTAGATAGAGTATTCAGAATTAAAGCTGATGGCGTGCAGTCGAGTGTGTCCCGTAGATTGGAGAGGTTTTAGAGAAATGGAGAAGGCATGCATTTGCGCGGTACTGAAGCCATGCCATGCCGTGTCATGCCCTTTTGGTTCTCCTTCACCTTGTAGGAACCATCCATATACCCTTCCCATCCCATCCCGTTACACAGAAAACATTAGGCAATAATGCCACGCCCATGTAGTAACTCCACTATTCCACATCGATTTGACCTAGTCGCTTTTCCATAAATAATAAAAAAAAAAAAAAAAAAAAAAAAAAAAAAAAAAAAAAAAAAAAAAACCCCCTCCCACTTCCAGCTTCCAGCCCTCAGACAGTAAATTTCGCCTTCGCCCTCGTACTTCCCGAGTGTGCACTATCCGTATGTCCCGAGAACTCCAAAATTTCTTCCTCCTTCAACCGTAACACCTCCTTAAACCTCCGCCCGATAGCATGCAAAATCTCTTTGCCCTTTTCCGCCGGGCGGCCCTCAGGAGTGCTCTTGCCTACCGTCCGCGTCCACAGGCCGATTCTGTAAAACCCTTTGCGCACGTTCACAACGACGCCCATGACTTCGTTGTCCTCGTCATTTTCGAGGGTTTCGCCGATCGCGGCGAGCTGGGCGTGTAGCCAGAGATCGTCGATGGGGACATTCTTCTTGTCGCGGAAGGAGTAGGACCATTTTCCGCCGTGCTTGTTCTGCTGGTCTTCCCACTCCGGGCGGACACCCTTTTTGAAGAGGTGGTAGTCGGCTTTCAGGCCCAGTTCGGAGGTAGGGGTGATGTTATTCTGCAGAGTTCCTTTTGTTAGACGCACATATTAAACTTGCCGTGTTTCAATCTTCGGTAACAACTCACGTAGATGCCCCAGAATTCCTCGACAGAGCCAAAAGTCACGACCTCCTTCAACAGCTCGTTCCAGTTGTCGCCCTGGACAAAGTAGAGTCAGCCAGCATAAGACATCCGAGCCGTTTTCTTCGAGGTAAACTGTAGAAAATTACCTTCCCACTTGGCGGCTTGGTAAACCAGAGCGTCCACTCATGCATTAGCGGGTGCTTGACATTGAAGTTATTAGGGTCGTGAAAGACAGTAACCGTATCACCCAGCTTTGACTGAGCACCAGTAACGTCAGGGGCTGCATTCTCATCGTTTGCAGGTTTTGGGACCGCGACGCCGTTCTCTGTTGCGGTAGCCATGGTGGGTGAAGTCGAGGGGAAACGAGGAGAGAGTTGCGGAGTGTTGAGGAACCAGTGCGCGCGGGGTGAGATGAATGGAGAATCTCTACAGAGTGAGCTGGCGCAAGATGTGAAGAAGTAAAAGTGAAGAAGAGATGAAGCCGGCAGAAAAAAAGGATAAATAAATAGGAGGAGATGTGAGGAAGGCTCGAACGGCGGAGGAGGCTTTTGTGTGATAGTTATGTAAAACGCCACACAGTCAGGAGGGAGGGATGAAGAAGACCCGTAAAGTAGAGAAAGCCGCGGTCTGCGCCAGGCAGAGTAAATAGTTAAGGAGGATTAGATTAGAATCTAGGAAGATGGTGGATTGTAGGGTTGTTGTTGGTATGTTGGTATGTTGCTTTGTTGGTGGTTGGTTGCGCTGAAGTCGAGGAATTTTTTTTTGGCTCTGAAGTTTGGATGTTTTGCAGGATTTTAAATATTTATCCCGGATTTTTGAACTATTATATTTAAACCCCCAACCATTTGACTATTTATTTGAATATGCGGAGGACAGAACAAGATATTTATTTAATATTGACCCTACTGAAGCTGAGAAGGTTAATCAATCAATTTTATTGAGATGAACTAAAGGATTTAATGCTATCGCCCTCTCCAAGTCTCTAGAAATGTTCTCAGGAGGCAAGTACATATATGTAGAGCAGTTAAACAAGAATCGACAAATACGGTACATAGTTAGATCCAGACAAACAGCAAAATATTGACGCCTGTGCAATAGCAAATCTATAGATAAATTCATAACTTCCTCCTAGCAAAGCCAGCCCATAGATATTGAACGGGGAGAACAAAACTGTCTCAGCCCAAGTGAGAGATGCAACCAAATAAGACTGAAGATGAATAACCTCCCCATTAGAATCTAAAAATGAAGTATAAAAATCTATTTCCGGCTATTGATGACGCTCAGGACACAGTTCCAACCTGTTTATTCCATTAGTCGACGAGAATATTCAATGGATCCCCGGAGAAGCATTAAACCACTCTGACAGACAAAATAAAAGATATTACGTACCCAAACTAACAAGATTGACCACCAGCACACGATGCTGCAGCGGTACCAGTGTGAAATTGACCGCCTGCACCCACGGCCAGATCATCAGGTTCGCCTTGTAACCGGACCAGTAGCTGTTTTTCAACTTCTCAAGCGGATCGTTGCCTTCCATGATGGACATGGAGGAGAGGAAGAGGAACATGTGTGTTGGGGCGAAGAGGAGTTGGTCGCCGCAGACGCGCGAGGCGATGGTGAGTCTAGGACTGCGCAGGACGATGTGCCGCTCCATGAATTTGTACCAGGTCGTGGCGCCGGGGCCGAAGATTGCTGTGATCTTGTTAGAACATGCAACTGACTGACTTGCGGGATAAATGGACTCCAAAGGATTCATAGAGAAAAAGGAGTGGTGGATGGGATGCAGGCTTACCGCCGCCATACAAGGCCATTCTAGCAGTGCGGGCATAGTCGTGGTGCTCCAGGCCGACCTTGTCTACCAGCTGTTGGGCGAGGACATCTCCAGCACCGAAGAGGATCTAGATAGCTCAGAAAAGAGTCAATTACTCAAGCGTGAGATTGAGATGAGGACATAGATTTGAAACACGTACAGCGCTCCCAATGCTCTGGGTAATCAGCGGCCGCCTTGCCAGTTGAATATGATACCTAGAGGACTATTAGCATGGGTTGTCCGTAGCCACTAGGGTCCGCTGCTATCTAGACTAGACTTGAGGACTTACCACTGCAACATTTTAAAATCAAAGCAATTGGAGTAAGGACAGACAATCAAAGAATGACTATATAGAATCTCAATCCCTCACCCAGCTATATATTCTATCATGGCTCTGGAGTCTGTGGTCTCTATGATGCATTCTCTCTCCCCAGAACTTCCCCCAAATCCAACTCTTCCACCCGCAGCTCCGAGCCTCCGCATTTGGCAGGGGAGGTGGAGATCGTGAGTCTTGGCGGGTGACTAATCCCGTATTGTCACGGCCTGCATCCGCTGCCTGGCGGCTCCGTTAGGGCTTAGGGTTTAGGGCTTAGGGTTTTTCCAGAACTTCTTCGCCCAACTCGCTTAGCCGCGCTGACTCAGCATCACACCTCCCGCTGCTTGTTCCTTCGCTGTGTGTTTGTCGGCAGCAATTCTGAAGGGAAGGTCGACGACGACGACGACGACGACGAGAGACGAAACAACAATCCAACCTCCCACCACCGCCAACTCCCCCGCCCTTCTCCCAATTCTTCTGTTCGTTCGGTCGGAAATCCAGCTTCGTTCAACTAATCATGGCTGACGCTCCCCGTGGTGGTGCCCGTGGAGGTTTCGGCTCGCGTGGCGACCGTGGTGGTGACCGTGGCCGTGGACGAGGACGTCGTGGCCGTCGCGGCCCCAAGAGCGACGAGAAGGAATGGCAGCCCGTTACCAAGCTCGGCCGTCTCGTTAAGGCCGGCAAGATTAGCAGCATGGAGCAGATCTACCTGCACTCGCTGCCCATCAAGGAATACCAGATCGTCGACTTTTTCCTGCCCAAGCTGAAGGATGAGGTTATGAAGGTATATATATCTACATATCTATATATCTATTCCCAGAAGTTATATTTCGGGGGAGGATGTCCAGCTGCATATATTGGGGAGGGGGTTGTATTCGAGAAGACGGAGACTTGAAATGGATTAATAGCTAATCCAATGGTAAATATCTATAGATCAAACCAGTCCAGAAGCAGACCCGTGCCGGTCAACGCACACGATTCAAGGCCATCGTTGTCATTGGCGACTCAGAGGGACACGTTGGTCTCGGAATCAAGACCTCTAAAGAAGTAGCGACTGCCATCCGTGCCGCCATTATCATCGCTAAGCTCTCCGTTCTCCCCGTCCGCAGAGGTTACTGGGGCTCCAACCTCGGTGAGCCTCACTCGCTCCCCACAAAGGAGAGCGGAAAGTGCGGTTCCGTCACTGTTCGGGTATGTTTTAATATTATTCTTTCAATCACATCGGATTTTGGGTGAAGAGGGAAAAAAAAAAAGAAAAAAAAGGCAAATCAAGGGGTGTAAATCTATGGATATTAATCATTATATGAAAATAGTTGATCCCCGCCCCCCGTGGTACTGGCCTCGTCGCTTCCCCAGCCGTCAAGCGCCTCCTCCAGCTCGCCGGTGTCGAAGACATCTATACCTCCTCCTCCGGCTCCACCAAGACCCTCGAAAATACCCTGAAAGCCACCTTCGTCGCTGTCGCCAACACCTACGGATTCCTAACACCTAACCTGTGGAAGGAGACCAAACTCATCAGAAGTCCCCTAGACGAGTTTGCTGATGTGCTGAGAGAGGGCAAGAAGTACTAGGCGTTTCTTATTTGTGCTTTGTTTTTTTGCGTTGATGTCATTTTACGAATTAATTGATTCGTTTATCAATTGAGTCGAAATTTCGTGGATGTGGATAAAATTACATTTCTGAAAAAAACGATTCCATGAGATGAAGAAATGATCGCATTTGATTAGGTACACTACGCATTCCACAAAAAGTAGCCGGGTACAAATTA